GACTTGGACTACAAGTGAACTGCAAGGATAAACGGCTGAACGCCAAGCTTTATAGCAACAGGGCAGCAGCCCATTTCCATTTGAGTAAGAATTTGAATTTCAAATTCATAATGGTAATAATAGTAAGGTAATGTCACGCAATTTGCTCCAGGTAGAGAAATCATTCTCGCAAGTGGACCACAACTTAAGAAATTGCATAAGGAGAGCCAAAGCGGTGCATTCCAGATACTAGGTGGGCGTTACTAACAATAGAGATACAAATCCGCACGTTACGAGCGACGGAAATAGAACAGAGGATTATTTTTCCATGGAGTAATCACATCACAATTCAAAAGCATTGTCTAAGCAATTGCAATTTTTCAGGCCTTTTTACTAGAACTGCATGTAATGATCCCTTATTTTTTTAATTCGATAGGAAACTACCCGGAGTGTCTCGATGATGCAACAGTTGCTGTTCAATTGGAACCCACTTTAATCAAAGCTATCAAAAAAGGTGGGTTTTAAACCATAAGCCATCAAAATTTTTCCTGTGATTTCGTCGAAAGGGGACCGTGGGGATTACAATAATAGTCTTGAATAATAGTCTTCATTCAATCAAAGGATAAAAATACCTATCCTAAGTAACAATGAAAAAGTATTAAATGATACACGATAAAATACAATAATAATACAAGGAAGAATATACTACACTAGATTATATTTAAAAATAAGTCTATTTACAAAAGTTTTTTTAAATCTCTCTGTTTTTATCTGAGGAAGGTGACACCTCGTACGAAAATTATATACTAATTCTTTTTCTTTGAGAATGATCACACCTAGTTTATGATTATCAATAGCTCTTTTGATAACGGATTTATCTTGCTGTTCTCAAAGGTTAAAAATGCTGAGTGTTTGAGAGGTAAAATGACGCTTATGGCACTTGTCTAAAAACGGTGTATAACATTTAAATCAGAGTCAGAAGCAGCATTCACAGCGAGACCATAAGTGAGAATGAGAAGGACTGGGTTCTTAAATAAGTGATCAATTTCCTTTTGGCGAAAGAGTTCCTTTCGTAAAGTTCTGAGAATGTGAAGGCACCTGTTAGCTTTTGTGAGCGTAAGTCTAACATGCTCGCTGAATTTACAATTGGCTGAAAAATCAGACCGAGCAAAACTTTAGGCTATCAGATTGATGAATGTTATTGATGGGAACGTACTGATTGCGTGTACCGCTACTTTCCTTCTTTCTAAATATCAGATCTTTTCACTTACTCGGATTACACAGCATCTGATTATTCATACTCCAACTGAGAAACTGATTTACCAGGTCTACTGACG